CGTAACACAGGTTACAATGTTAATTTATCTCTTTATCGAACTTAGGCCTAACATAAGTTAAAGTCTTATAAAGTACGGCCTATATACAAGTGGATTTACACATTTCGTTGTCTACGATTACAATACGTTTGTATTGTGCTAGTAATGTTATATTTAAAGAAGTACTGTTATAATAAAGATAGTAACTTGGCCGGAAATGTTTAGCGGGTCTCTGTTAGTAAATGTATAATAAGTTTAAGGCATTAACAGTATTGGCGTTTTTGACTCATTTCTTAGAGGAGTAAGCATTTTGCTTTTCTGGAAAAAGAGTTACTGAATAAATTCGAGAATAAATCACTTTTGTTTCGTAAACCATTTTTTTATTCGCATATATTACAATATTTATTGTAAACACAAAGCTTTGGAGACGCAAAAATTAACCTTTACATAAGTAAAAAAACAACAACAAAGATTTAGTTTTAATATGACAATAACATCACCTGGAATCCGTAATAAATGTTTAGTGAAATAAAAATCCAATAAAATGTTCAGTAGTACTTTGTGTTCGTTAGATGGAGCCACCGATGTCAGTTTAGTTAAAAAAGAATTTTATTCTCTGTCGTAACATGAAACTAAGTTTGACAGAAAGAAGTAACATTGTAAACAAACAAGACCTAAAGTATTTTTTCTTCATCTCTTCTTTTTTTATTATTATTTAAAGATGAGATACTATGGTAGAGAACAACATCATACAATCTAATATGGGCGTATTAAATCACCTGTAGGTAACAAAACCCATGCCGTGAACAGCTTTCATTATTAAATATGTATTTTAGTTATTTATAGTATTAACCAGGTTAATATACAACACTAAATTTCTAAAATAGTAAACATACATTGGCTAAATGTGATAGGTATGGTACACGAAGATTTTTAGATGAGAAGCAGCTTGGACGATTGGTAATATCGCAAAGCAGACCCTCCCACCTCGTCAGACGTTCTTGGGATAATGGCCGAAAACACAACTAGCAGCTAGGGTACCCAACTGATAAGCTAGGAAGAGTGGTCGTAGAACCATTTTTGTGGTTTGACAGTTTGTCATAATTAAGACTATTTATTTATAATTTTAATTATTATTGTATATTTATCAACATATTTTATGGTAGTAGTTATTACATAATAGGTCTACACAAACAAAGCATTTTGTGCAATAGTAATTTAATCAATATATCGACAAAAGTTAATATACACTAAACATAATTTCATGACGTTTTTTAACTTCGCTCTGGATACAAAATATCAAAACGTTGATAGCTTTATCATTCCTTATTGGTAGTTTAAGCCCTTTACGTCCATTCAAAACTATGTAATAAATACTACTATTGGTCACTTCTGATCACAAGACATACGATACTTTTGCAAGTATGAGTGAAATATCACATTAGCTTTCATACAAAATTTCAGTAAATTGACAATAATTAATACCATAAATGTTTTCAGGGACACACATAGCTATTTGTTTTTTTACTTAAAGGTTCAGGATCATAAACTTACAACAGCCTTTAACTTTGTGACCTTAACTTATTGTCGTATTTTTATCCAACAAGACAAAATATAATGTTTATACAACCACATGTTATGCATTAAATCGAAAGGGCATATTTTTCAAAGTGATGAGACGTTTATCAAAGTATGAGCATAACATCGATATTCCAACGTTAGAGGGTGTTGGGTAAGTACTTATATATAAGCTTTTCGGACAGTAATGGCAAACAAAAAAAAATCTATATAAATATAATAGCACTGTCTGTTGTCTGTCCATGTTACTACTTTGCAGTGTGCGTGAACAGATCTTCATCAAATTTGGTATGGAAGTTCACTGGGTCCATGGGGAAATACATACAAATTTTCAGTTTTGCGTTTTGAGGATTTTATGGTCGTTTTCGCGTTTATTACCACTACTTTGCCCCCTGTAGATGGATCTTCACCAAATTTGACATGAAGGTTTGTTGATTTCATGGGGAGATATCTACAAAATTGCTTTTTCACATTTTGTTTTTTACAGTTTTTCTGGGCGTTTTTTCGTTTTTTTACAATTACATATAAGGGAAGCAACTTTTCATGTCCTAAGATAACCTTTCATTAATCATGAAGTTACATAACTCCCGTCCAGGGGACGGATACTCCAACTAGTAAATAAATAAAATAAGCGTCGCATATAAGAGACAGACAGACAAACGAGTAAAATTAGGTTGCAAAGTACGACGTAGAAAGGGTAAAATATGC